TCCACAGACACAAGCCCAAGGAGGCCTGGGATGCTCTCACACAGTCAAGCACACAGGATATCCACTGTGGTCGTGGTGAGATAGATGTCCAGGAAACCCTGAGTAGTAGCCACTCATGTTCCCGTCAGTTCAGTCAACAAGTATGGAAGCTGACCTTCATATTCTTTGTTCTGATACCAACCTCACAGTTTTGTGATCATAATTTGACATCCCATGTAGACCTTCATCCTAGAGACAGGATTTAATGACCCACAACAAAAATATTCCTTTGTAAATTATCTTTTCATTGTAAATGTTTAGCTATAAATTAATAAATACATCAATTTTCTATGAGTTTGATAAGCAGAATCACTCTCCTTGAGTCATTTTTGGGTACAAAAATCTCTATGAGGCTCTGGACAACAGGGCTGTGACCAGAGACCAGGTCATGTAAGGAGGAATACTTTTTTCAGTCTCAATAAATACTAGACAAATATGTTGTATATTCCAGATTAGTGTTACAAATTAAATCCAGGTTTAAAAAAAAAGAAGAGGAATGCTGTATTTTAATGTTTCTACCATTGAAAATATAAAATAACCAATAAAACCCCCAAATGTCATAGCAATGGTCCTCAACTACAGTTAAATTAAAACAGCCTGCTTAACTCTTATGAACCACTCTGGAAAGCAATAAGGAGATTTCCCATAAAACTAGGAATGAAACCACCTTATGATCCAGGCATTTCACTCCTGGGTATTTATGCAAAAGAACTAAAATCAGCATCCTAAATTGATAACCCACTTCAATGTTTATAGCAGCACAATTCACGATAACCAAATTATAGAATCAACTCAGATGCCCATAAATAGATGACTGGATTAAGAAATTGTGTTAAAAATACACAGCAGAGTTTTACTTGCCATAAAAGAATAAAATTATGGCATTTGCTAGTAAATGGATAGAAACAGAGAACATCATGCTAAGTGAAATAAGCCAGACACAGAAAATCAAGGTTCAAATATTTTCCCTCATATGTGAAAGAGCAAAACAAAGGAAAGCAGAGAGGTGGATCAGATATCATGGATCAGATATCACATGGATATATAGGGAAGATCAGTTAAGTAGAAGGAGATTGAGAGAGAGAGAGAGGAAGGATAAGAAAGGGGAGGAAATGTGTAATGAATTTTTAAAAGGTTGATGCTATGTGCATATATAAATATACCACAATGAATTTCACCTTTATGTATAAGGAGAAAAAAACAATAAAAAATAAATAGATGAACAAAAGTAAGATCAATGGAGTAGAGGATAGAGCATGAAGGGAGGGAGGAGGGAGGGCAAATGGGTGATATATGAACTGAAATCAAATTGCATGCATGTACAATTTTGTCAAGATGAACCCAACTACTGTGTATAACTATAATGATCTAATAAAAAATTTTAAAAATAGCCTACTTTTTTGATATATATATATGTACATTTATGTATATGTACACACACATACACACACACCCACACATACACACACACATAAACAGACACACACACACACTCCAATGATTAGTTCTACTGGACCCATAAATCCAAAGTTCAAAGATATATGGCTAGGATTCAGCATGAGGGAGGGCTGGGTTTCCACTCTTATAATTCTCTCTCCACATGACTCTAGGATGTAGGTAAGGCTTGTGAATCCATAACCTGTAGCAATTAATATAAATGAAAAAACAAGCCTGGAGGAAGCTATAGGTTATTAGAGACTATAAACCCAATTTAAATAGACAACTTTTATTCCTCTAGAGCCATTTCCATGTGGAATCTCAGGCTTGCTTTCAATGGATCACTGGCATGTTTGAAAAAAAAATTTAGAAATTTGCAATTATTGAAAATTTTCTCAATTTTTAAACTTGACAAAAAATTCATAATTTTAAATATTATTCTGTAAATTTCTGAAAACATATCTTTAGACCTCAAAATTGTGTCCTCAGAACATAAAGTAAGAAAAGCTATATGACATGCAATGCCAACTCAGAGACAAAAAAACGCAGGTTCTTCAAACACAAGGAAAACAATGAGCACTTACACTGATTCTATTGTTTAACATTCTACTGACAAAATTATCAACCAGAGCAATGCTTTGCTTTTCCCATTGATATCTTATCTTGACTTTAGTCAAGAGCATAAGTGTCCTGAAAACAGAAACTACATTTATTTTCTTCCATTAGCTTTACTTCCCTAGCCTTGAACACATACTTGAGTGTTTATAAGTCCTTGAGACTGTTGTAAATTGGATATACTCATGTTTTACATATAGACAAAATAGTCTTCTTTGTCATATATACTAAGAAAAAATATGTTGTGAATTGAGCAAGTATCTAAGGAATGGAACTAGTGATCAAAGCCATCTGTTAATTGTGATTCATTCTCTCTCTTTACCACCTTTCATATCTTCTCAACTTCCCTCCCTTCTCTTTCTCCCTCTTTCTCAAAAACTGGTATCCACTCATTCTTTCAGATGATGCATTCTATGTGAAAACAACCTGTATGGAAACTGAAAGGAGTAACTCTTCTTAACACAAAACAGTGAACAGTCATGAAAAGGCTGGAATATTGACTGTGAAATGCTGGGAGCCATTAGCCAAGTAGGTATGACAATTTCCTTGCCAGCGTACCCCATGTTGCAGTGACATTGAATGTAGGTGACCTTGTTCAAGGACCAAGGCGGATTAGGGCGTTCCGGTTTAGGTTCCAGGTTTAAGCTTTAAGATTATTCCTGCTGGGAATAGGGCGTATCCTGCTGCCTGAGTTCCCCTTGAGTTCTCACGGGATTCAGACAGTATATTTTGGGAGACAGAAGCCCAGTGGATGTGGATTTGGGCAGAGAACGTGGATTTCCCCAGAACGTGATTGTAGACGGCTGGTGTGAGTTCGGGAATAAAGAGTTGCTGTTTGAATCTACAAGCTGTGTGGTGGCTCGTGATTGTGTGCCCAGCCAGACTGCGGCATTTGTGCCCAGCCAGACTGTGGCAGTGAAAGATTTTAATTACACTGATATTGATTAGGATAATAGCAATTTAATTACAGGGAAGAGTCAAAGTTCTGTCCTCATCACATTGTTTTCTGTTTCTAAGAGTTTCCTTGTCTAGTTTTTATAGGGAAGAACTTTTTTTGTTGTTGCTGTTTTGTTATTTATATATTTCCTGGAACTTTTCCTAAAAACTCAGCCAAGTATGATAAATCAGATTGAAGCTTGGGAGCATCTCGAATCTAGTTATCAACTTATTATTTGATTTGAAATGCTCAAGAGAGTATGCTGTTTATGAAGAGAAACAATGCAAGCATTTTTTACTTTGGGGGAAAAAAAAGCTTTTGAAAAAATGCAAAGTGCCCTGAGAAATGTTGATTGGAATTCTATGAGGTATGAGAAATCTACTGCACATAAGTAAGGAATTGAGCATTTAGGAAACAATTGGAAAGGCTAGCATTGAAATTCAACTGAGATGAGTAGTAATCACAGTACTGAATTTAGAGTAAAAGAGTTGAATATGAAATAAAATATAAAAATGCACACTAAAGGACAGTTAAAGAAATGCAGTGCTTGTAGTTGAGGGGCCTTAAAAATGTACCTTGTGCATGATACAGGTTATAAAAATATCCTGAAAATATTACTTACTTCAGATTTACAATGAGGTAAATTCTTTATTATGTTGTGGTATTACAGAATATAAATACATTATAGCTTCTAATTAAATACTTCTTTTTCTGGAATTTATTTACTCAAGGGAAATCTAGAAAACTTGAATCTAAATAAATTGATAAGAAACTTATAAGTACAAGTAACATTATAAGAAAAAACTTTAACTTGGTTACTTTGGGTATTTGTAATCATTGGATTGAATTGCAATTATTTTGTTATATATGGATTTGGTTTAATGTTCTTTTATTAGAAGGAATTTGACCTCCATAAGATATATACACATAAATAAGCAATTAGAGAAATACAAATCAAAACTACTCTAAGATTTCATCTCACTCCAGTTAGAATGGCAATTATCAAGAATACAAGCAATAAAAGTTTTTATGAGGATAAAGGGAAATAATTCACTCATACATTGCTGGTGGGAATGCAAATTGGTGCAACCACTTTGGAAAGCAGTATGGAGATTCCTTGGAAAACTTGGAATGGAACCACCATTTGACCCAGCTATCCCACTCCTCTGTTTATACCCAAAGGACTTAAGATCAGCATACTACAGTGATGCAGCCACACCAATGTTTATAGCAGCTTAATTCACAATAGCTAAACTATGGAACCAACCCAAATGCCCTTCAACAGATGAATGGATAAAGAAAAATGTAGTATATGTAAACAATGGAATATTACTCAGTCTTAAAGAAAAATGAAATTATGGCATTTGCCAGTAAATGGATGAAACTAGAGACTATCATGCTATGTGAAATAAGCCAATCCCAAAATACCAAAGGCAGAATATTTTCTCTGATAATATTCTGTGTACGGGGAGAATGAAGGAACTTTGGATTGTGCAGAGGGGAATGAGGGGAGGGGTGGGATGGTGGGGATGGGAATGACAGTAAAATTAGACAGAAATTATTACCCCATATATATGTATTATTACACTACTGGTATGACAGCACCATGTACAGCCAGAGGAATAAGAACTTGTGCTCCATTTGTGTACAGTGTGTCAAAATGCATTCTACTGTCATGTATACTAATTAGAACAAATTTTTAAAAAATAAGAGACCAGTAAAATAAAGGAAGGGGGCAGGGGAACAGTGGGGAAGGAAAGGGGAGGTACAGGGGAATTAAACTGATCAAATTATACTGTTTTATTGAGTGCATGTATGAATATGTAAAAAAATTAAAAGGTTATAATACATATAGAGAACAGTACATGAAAAAACATGAGGAAGAACATAAAGTATTTTAATACATGAGAGCTCACAGCCTTCTTCCCTCTGTAGTCCTTTCCTCCTTTTTAATCTCAGTACAGGGACTTGGGGGTGTATAGCTCAGTGGTAGAGCACTAGTCTAGCAAGCTAGAGGCTCTGGGTTCAATTCCCAGCACAGTCAATCTGTCATAGAGCATGTACTTAAGCACTTTTAGAATTATAAGAAACTAAGACTATGCGAAAATTTTGTCTTGAAAAACTAATTTAGATAGAGTACCAGCCATATATCCAATAGGATTTCCTTCCACCAGGAAAGTAAGTACACTGGAACTATAGAAATGTACCAAATGGGAATTGCTTGGTATAATTTAGTTCAATCCAAGATTTCATCAGATTTATCAAGTTCCTATTGCAAGTTGCTTAACCCAACAGAGGCAAGGATGCCAAAATGAACTAGAGTGGTATGGCAGCACCTAAGGATTTCAGGGCAGTGGATTAGAATCATTTCTCTGTACAGATGCTTTTAAGGAGTAGCAGCCACAAATATATCCACCACATCAAATATATCCAAGAAGATCCCATCCAGGCCACAGTCATCCCAAAGTCAAAGAACAATAACAAGTCAAAGAACCAAGCAGGTGAGAGGAAGTTAGAGTGGACCTCAGAGCTGAGTGACAAAGCAGGCAAGAGTGGTGAATCAGGAGCAAGGCGGAAGTCAAGTCTGTCCTGAGAGTCTATTCACAATAATAAACAATTCCTGAAGCACTAACCAAGCCTCTGGCACCACCTGATACTTAAGGTGGGAAGTACTGATCCTGGAGCATAGTCATACCTACCCCAACATCACGTGCTCTGTTACCTCCACAAGATCACCAAATCCAGGCAGACACCCCAAAACGCAAGTGAACACCAGCAGGTCCTGTGGTGTAAGATAGGAAAGCTCTTTTCTTCATATTGACTAAAGGAGAAAAGGGCTTCCTTCATCAGCCCGGTTTTTAAAACTAAGAATTAACTAAATTACTTCTAGTAACCGTATGCATGTATGATTCTTACAGTATATATAAACAAATGAATATATTTGTATCAAAATTTAAAGTCAGAAGAGATTTTATGGAGCATCTTGTCAGACATCTGCACTGAAAGAAATCAACAATCCAAGAGTTGATGCAACTTGGTTAAGTTTATAATGCTAGTCAGTATCATAGCAAATTTGGCAGAAGAAAGACTAACATTTTCTGGCTCAGTTCAGGAGTCTTTCCAGAAGGGCAACATTAAAATAAATTTGTTCTACTAGTGAGGAAAGTTTAATTAATCATAATCCTGATAATCCTCAGCTGTTGGCACACTGCCACCCTTGGTCCACTTAAAGCCCTTTTATTTATTTATTTTTTCAATCCTTTTTGTTCTTTCCTGTATCCTTAACCTTGAATTCATTTCAGTCCTTCACATAGGAATCTATTAAAATATCAATACATGACGTCATGTATATAAAATTTCTTTGTGCATTGCATTTCTGTGTGTAAGTGTACAAGAATGTGTATTCAACTTACCTTAATAGTATGGATACAGTTCTAACTACCCTTTAAAAAGCGAAGATGGTACTGCATGGTTATCCATTTCATTGTTTCTAACCATTGCATAAATCCATAGTAAATATCTATAATGATTCAGTTGTCTATTCCCCTAATAATATAATATGAAATCTTAAAGAGTTGTTGATTTATTTTCTGTAAGTGCCCATTGGTTTTATTTTGTTTTGTTTCTGGCATTCAAATAATCAGTACAATTTACATCCAGATTTTATGGTTTAAATAGCTATGTTTATTTTTTTGTTTCGGTATTGTTATATCTGATGTTAATATTAGGTAGATGTCTATGGACATCCTGTTTTCAACTTAAGTATGTCGTTTCTTAAATAGACTACTAATAGCTAATAACATGAAAACATGTCAGTGATTACAGGAATTTGGGATATCAATACATCATAGCAAGGGTGGGTGTAATAAAATTTTCTATGAGATTAAAAACTTATTTTGAGTAAATTAATTTGTGGCAATTTGTACTAAAATTACTGTCTCACAATTGAAAATAGCTTTATAATGTTTGCCCATTAAAATTCTAAAAAAATATAAATCAATTGTTCCCTTGATGACTTTAGTCACAAGTAAATAAATGAGAAAGTATTCACAGTACAATGTGTGGGAGAAAATATTCAAAGCAAACAATAAACCAGTGATCCAGTATCACGATGACTAAATATTACAAAATGCTAACACAGATGTCCAATATGACAAGAAAAAAGTTGGGTTCTGTTAACTAGGGTATTTATTCAAATCAGACAATGTATTCTATCCAATATGTAGAGTGCCTTCTTACTTATAATTTTAGACTGGAACTTAGAGACGGAATGATCAGACATCAGGCATGCAGGAGATTGAGATAAATGGAGACTCTGGACAAGCAACACAGCATGGCAGGCTAAGGACTCAGCCATACATATTTAAGAGCTACATTAAAATGCAGCATGAACCCCAAGCAGTGACTGTCAAGAAAGCTGGTTCTAAATGGAACACCTTGTTTAATTGATGTACGACTTTAGGTTAGTCCTCTAACCTCTCAAGAATGTCCTGTTCCTCTATTAAATGAGAGAAAGAACATATCCCACCCTGTGTAACATGTTGTGATCATAAAACCCAGTGACAGTAGGGCTGTTCGAGTAAAAATGAACATAAGAATTTTAATATTCAAATAGAATGATTCATAACTGAAGCTGATGTGCTGACCACCAAGAAGGAAACATGAATAACATAGAAGCTGGTGCTACAGGCTTTTGAGAATTCTCTCTTACCGCTGAATATCTTTTTATTGAAGTCGATGTGTTATAACTGGAGAATAATTTAGAATAAAAGTGTGTTTAAAAGACCAAAGAAAAGTATTTAACAAGATTATTAGGCTTATACATACTAAGTCATCAACCAAGAAGTGTTATTTGGTACTGTTGACTGCAGAGTACTGCACTCACAGTCACAGTAAGGGGATGAGATCCAGGGAGCTTAAATAAAGGCCAAAGCACTCTCCATACCACCACCCTACCAAACGTGCATGCACATGTGTGTGGTGCACGCACACACACTGGAAGTACACACATAAATTAAATAGTAAAAATCAAGTTCAAAAAATTTTTAAAGAGTTGAGAGAAAAATGATAACAAAAAATGATGTTTCCTTCTTCTCAGGCCAGAAACGTAGAGGACAGATGCAGTGCACATTTTAAAAGAATTTCAAAAGGAAAGCAAGAAGCAATGGATACGTAAATAATACAAGAAAGATCTACTCAAATCTAAAAGGATATTTTCTAGCAGAATTCAAGTTAGAGTACTCATTTCTGGATCTATCTTGGTAAATTTTGGTGTTGTAAAGATAAAAATAAATAGCTAATAATGGTAAAAGTGGGAAATAAACTAATTTGCCTATCAAACATAAAATAGCAAGTTACAAAAAATTAGGGTAGAGAGGAGAAGTGTTTTGGTATGCATTGATAAATACAATCAATAGGAGTCTAAGACTCCATTTTGCTGCCTTCTATTAAAAAAATTGTTACAACAGCTGTTTCTGAGATACGGAAATGAAAGCTGTTTTCTTATTTAAAAAATGGACTTTCTATACTTTGCACCCCCCAAATTGTACCCTACTCAGGATGCAGCAGTGGTCGTGGTGAGCTACATCCTGGGTATGAAGGCCCTTGTGAGTCTACAGGACTTTGAAGTAGATTCTTGCCCCACCGACCCCCACCCAATTTCAGGATGTGACTGTCTAGCACCTGCTTGAACCCAGAACTGTGGTCAGCTGAAATGCAAAGCTCATGCTTTTTTTAGCTTCTGTTTATCACTTGCTAAACAGACTGGAAAATTCCAGTCTTGCCTAGAGCTCACAGGTCCCACATATTAATGTTTTAATTTCTATGATTGTTTTAATTTCTATGAATGTATTAATTTCTATGATAGTATAATCAACAAAGACATAGAATGACATTACTGGATTTTATACCCATTCTTTCCTCCCAAATTTATGTTTTTGTGAAAGTTCCTGGTTCTTTCCCCCAGAGCCTCATGTCTCAGAGGATCTGCACCTCACCTTCAGCTCCACAGAGAGCTCAAGGTCTGATTCTTTTTGACAATGATTTGTTCAGAAATGGTTAAGTGATCAATTCTGACCAGTGAGATGTAAAAGAAAATCTAGTGTGATGCTTCTGGTAACTCATCTTCACTGTAAAGCAAGCTATATGACTTTATCATCTCTCTTTTTCCTCTTGACATTGTTATGACTGGGTGCAATGCCTAGAATTGGTACCACCCTGAAACCATTGTCTTGCCATCTTGTAGCTATTGTGTAGTTATTTGCACTCAGAGGTTTGATAACTTTCCTGAGATGAAATAGTAAGTGGAAAATCGGTATACATCTCCACACCTACTTCTTATTCTGAAATTAATGTACTTTCCAACACTTCTTATTGCTTCTAGCCAAGCATATGTTAGAGCTAACATTGACTTTATGTGTTTATAAAGTTTTGTTAATCCCAGTCCACTATTTATTCTACGACATCATGGTATAAAATATTCCTGCATTTTGATTAAGGATAGAGTTATGCTTATTGTTTGTTGATATTATTGTTTAGGGTGATGAACCAAGTAGATGTCTATGAGCTTCCTGTTTTCAATCTGTGTAATATTTTTTTCAACATATCCTTTCTTAAATATACTATGAATATCTGATAGCATGGCTAATGATTGCTCTTTTGTGTCTTTTCCAGATTAACTTTTGTCTCTCTTTGTATGATTGGTTAAATGCTTTCTCTGGCAAATCCTTTTGGACTTGTGCAGACTCTATTAAGCTTCCCCTTTTTTGCCCTCCTTGCTTTAAACCTTCCTCTTCCCCTGTGAGCTGCTGTTTCACTCCTCCTTTATTCCAGCACATAATGCCATGCCTAGTGCATCATGCATGATTAATGGTAATGGAAAAGTCCTTGAATGAATTGTTCATTGATTAAGTGAGTGAATGAATGAATGATGGTAGATGCATCACCTTGTAGTCTAGTCCTATTAAAATTCCAAAAGGATACATCAGGAGTGTTATGCCTTCATCCTCTGAATCTCAAAAGCATTTTATTCCTCTTACTGCACTT